CAGGATTTCATTTTTAAGTTTAGTTATTCTTGGGAATTAAGTTTAAAAAATATGTAGGAATTGAAACCGCAAACAATTATTTTTAATGTCCTGTCTGCACGCAACTGCATTAATAAATGTGAGCGTAGGACTGTAAACACACACAGGTATAAATCTCAATTACAAAATACAATATTTGTTAAGTACATAAATTTTGGAGCGGAGCTGCTGCGTAAGGTCGTGAGGTCGGGACAGGCCGTTCCGGGCATTATCCGTGTTTCAAATTCGAAACGGATTATAATTCATAAAACAGATTAATTATGAAACTTTGATCGCGATTCATTAATTATTTTGCAATTTTCCGCAACAACAAAAATCCCGCACGCGGAACAAAAGGGCTCTCGCCGTGATATTAAGCCGGGTTGGACGACGGCGTGCACTATCTTCAACCGTGTATGGAATAAGTAAGTTAAGCCGTCCCGACCATAATTCTGGCCTGCAGGAAACTACTTAGAATATTGATTTTCGTCGATGTATAAATGTGCGTTCGGAATCCGGCAACAGTGAAATAACTTCATCCCCACATGGGTCCATGATAGACCCTACTCATGCGAGTCGTCCGGATTAATTGCATTACATTCTCTTAATACCGGTATCCGGGATGGTATAAAACGGTGCTACACCGGATACCGGTTATTTATTTATGCGGCCACCGTTAACGTACGTTGCCTGATCAAAAATTAACGCATTTATTCTACATGAAATATTGAAAGCGCGCATTCGGCCTATTTGTAAATTTTGCCCTCCATCCATTATTTACGACGTTCGCATTACGAATCCTATGTATAATTGATGTTTGCGACGACAAAATTATTGCTTCATAAATTCTGCGAAACGTAATCTATGCGTGGAGTCCAGCTGCTATCTCGTAACAAGCATTAGTTTGCTATTTTTTTTTACCCCATTATTTCCACCATTTCGATGTCTTAATTGCGTTTCGTTTCGGTCTATAGATTTAACGGATGCTTAACTACGAGAACGGTCATCGAGCACGTCATAATCCGAAGCTGTCCCGATGATTTACTAGCTGTGCAATTGCTGTCGCGTTAATCCGATTCGCGCAAAGCGCTTCATAAATTTAATCCGTCCGATTTTACCGGAATGCCTTGCATTACGTTACACCCATGCACATCTTCTATTATTGTATTTTTATAACAACTAATTTATTTCCGACTTGCGATTGCTCGAAATCCCCGGATTTTACTGGGGACGAAAATAGGATGTCAGTCTGAGGGTCCACTCGTTCACCTTGAGGGCCCTCATGCCGAGTTGAAATGTTGACGCATTCAGCGAGATATGAAGTATCAGAAAGACAACGTTTGCTTTCGACACGAAAAACAAAATTAAAAAAAAGAAGTATTAAACATACAAAAAAATAAATCAAATAAACACGTTGAAAATCATGTTCGGAACGGTGATTTTTGATGGAGTGCGCGACGGTGTCATCACCAAATGCGAGACCTAAATCACCTGCATCGGGAATTGATTGGCATATTATCGGGGTTTCAAGTGCTGCCAACGACCGAGGGATGAGCGCAATAATATATATATATAGATATAAAACGTAGCCAGAAGATGAATGTTGGTGATCTGGAAAAAAATTGCCCGTAATGAAATCTAATTGTTTAGTGTAATTGGAATCGCGTCTGGCTGCAATTTCGAATGTCATTGATTACTGTAACATCTGTAGGTTCGCTTCATTAGTCAGTGAATCCGCGCTCATCAAAAGCCATTCCGATGGAAACAACTCCCGTGAAGTCCCCTTAAGAATTTCAATTATTTCCTAGTTGGAAAATATATTGATTCCTACTTCTGCTCTAATCAATTCTTCTAAATATACGAATCCATAAACTTCAAACCTAACTATTGCAATCAATAACATATAAATTAATTAGAATTACTAGTTTACCAATTAGAATCAATAAATATTAACTATTTTTTCTTTTATGAATATAATAAGAAAGTTGCAACAAATAAGAATAACTATGTAAGAAAAATTGGTTTGGAATCTGTATTTTTATTGTAAATATTATTAGTTGGATATAAAACTAGGATAGGTTTGCTTCGTATATTTGCTTTTATGGAGGTGATGAAAGACCAATAAATCGCACTTGTCGTCACTCTTTCTAGTACGTAGACGAGCACATTTCACTGAAATTTGGTTTAAGTATTGAAATAATTTGTCTATCGTTTTTATTTAACATTCATTGTTGCATGAACTTTTACCTAATTACATTTTCAGTAATTTAATGAATGACTTTTTCACCAAGGACAAAATATAATTAATATTATTTTTTTTACTTATTTCAGTAAGTCGATGATATTTTTTTTTTGACAGTGGCTTAAGATATTAAAATTAATTATATAAGATTAATTGATTTAGTAAAACTACAGAATTTGTGTAATTCTATAGTTTTACAATTTTTTGATTAACTTTTTTTCTTTCATAAAAATTAAACATGTTTTATTATATTTTTTTTTGTTTGACTGACTAACGTTGCGTGCATTTTGTAGTTTACAGAATGAATGATAAAACTAGACGAGTACTCAGGAGATTAAATGTTAATGTCTTCACCTTTTCGCAGCGTCGTCTTACGGCCTCTTCGGCTCCTAAGCTAATATTATTCAAGGGCCCTTCTAGGTCTACCTCATTTCATTTTTATAATATGGAAAGTCATCTCCCAAAATTACTTTCCCGGTACTCGAAAAAAAAAACAAATACGTTGCTTTTTTTATAGCTTTGCAAACCATCAATTTTTACTTTACTGTCTGCTACCTAAATTGTCATTGAACTTAAAAACACATTTATTTATATAAGATATACATTTTTTTTTTAATTTTCATTATAGTCATATTTTAATATTTTTGTTTTATGCAGATATAATTTAAGGATTTTCTAATTGGTAGAATAAGATTAAAAAAAAATAACGAAAAAGCTGGTAAAAATAGAAGTTCAATAAAAAAAAAGTATTGTTAAATAAATTCTTAAAAAATGAACACAGACACTTTGTGTTTTCATTAGGGGAATTTAATGTGACACGATTTTGGACTATGTTATAAAGCTGCGTAATCATTTGGTAGTATAAAAAGTGGATCAAGATTTGTCCAACAGTTTTAAAAAATGAAGCGAACGACGCTTTCATTAAGTCAACCTAATTAGAAGCGATCTACATAAAGTTTTGGGGACGGTGGCAGAATATAAAAAAAGAAGGAATATAGTTAATGAGGGTTACGGAATATGTCGACGGTGTTGCGGAGACGTGCTCCAAGTGTTCTTTAGTCTTTCAATTAGGCATATTGCCTGTTCATTCCCTTTTCCCGAGTGATGGACATATATGGGTATAAGAGCTTTTATAGATCGTGAATAATTAAAGTTTCTTCATCCCGGTTAGTAGAAAGTGGAAGTTGTGAGTGCGCGAGGGGCGGCTGTACCAAGTCATTTATCACGCGAGAGGGTTGTTTTTCCCGGATCTACCACCCCTAGCGGCAGCAATGCATTACGTAGCATCACACACAGTTCATAAAGATCTCGCTAGGTATGTGTGTGAATGCTACACTGGCTGGCAAATTATAAAGATTTATAGACTTGTAAGTCAAGGCGGATTGGTGAGAGGAGGAGGTTTTGGAACGAATCCGCGAATCCTGGGGACCCCCTCAGTCTACATAAATTACTCGAAATTTAGTGGCACGTGACACGTGCGCACCTTCGACATGCCTTGCCACCTCATTAACTTGTTTATTAAATTCAGGCTCCCGAATACAGGCGACACCTTCCTCATTGAGCAATTACCGCATATATACATATATACTAGGTTGCAGCACCTCCTCGTAGGCTTCTCGTATAGCTTCAACAAAGGAGAAGCTGCTGGAGTCTTTGATGGATCGCGATGTCGGAGCAGCTGAGGTGCAGGTCGCGACACGTGTGTAAACAAGTCGCGACACAATAAGGTTTCACCATTTAACGCGATTACATATTCAATTTGGTACGTTCGGTAATTTGTGTTCCCTGCCGCGTGTGCTGTGCTGTGCAGCGCTGCGTTGCGCTACGCGTGTGATTTAATTGGAATTAAAGTGAAACGATTTGGATCGCCGGTCCGCTCATTTGTTTTGGCAGGACCAGCAAATTCCATTTCCCGGTGTGCAAATGAAATTTTATCGTAATTGCGTTCGAATTTGTTCAAATACGTTACGACCCATAATCGAATTATAATCTTAAAAAAAAACGCGACCCAACACCTCCTACTATATTCCAACTTTAGTATCATCCCCAGTTTAGAGATAATATTTAAAATCAAAGTTTACTTAAATTATAATCTTGAAACGTAGGACACAACACCTTCTATTTAATATGTTAGCTTTTCATTATCCATTAAAAATTTGAATTAAAAATAACAAATCCATGAATGAAACATTTACAAAGTTCTACGATAATCTTGAGGTTTTAATTATAATTCTA